ATTCTCGGCGTGGGAATTGGCGGAGATTACCCAATCAGCGCACGTACGTACCATTTCAGAATAGTACGCAATTTTAAATCTATTAGCATTTATTCACGTTTTTCTTTATATCTATATATCAAGTTATCATCTCTGAACTTGCGCCAATAAAATTTAGGGGAGCAATATTGGCAGCAGGGTTTACTATTTTCACATTTGGGGCGCTTTCGGCTGAAATCGTCTCTTTTATTGCTCTCGTTGCATTCCGGGCTTCCATTCATCAAGATTTACAAAATCTTGATCATGTGTGGAGGCTTATTGTCGGGCTTGGCGCCGTACCTGCGATAATCGCTCTGTACTTTAGGCTATCAATTCCCGAGACGCCTCGATATTTAATTGATGTTGAAAAGGAAATCGATTGGGCTCGCAACATCGAAGTGTCACAGATTGGAAACTACGAGTCACCCAGACTGACGCACTATACTAGCAGGAAAAACCATTTACGCAACATGTACCATCATTTTCGTTCAGGAAAAAGCGGGAAATATTTAATGGTTACGTCTCTTATCTGGTTTTGTGCCAATATTAGCTCGATTGAATCTTCAAATTACATTCCAACAATTATTAATATTGGTAAAGGTGACGACCCGACCTATAATGGTCTCTTGGAATTTGGTTTAAACGCAATACTTTGGTTTTTCATCTGCTATGTACCTGGGCCTTTGCTTACCGTGTTCTTAGTAGATCGGTGGGGTAGGAAACCCATTTTATACATTGGGTTTGTGGCGTGTGCAGCTCTATTAGTACTTTGGGGACTCTTGATTAGGTTTGCGAACATAGATACATCAGAAGATCAAAGATTACAAAATGCAGTCGCGATGGTTTATTTCGTAAGCATTAGATTATTTGAATATTTTATTGACTTACAATCGTTCTCAATGTTAATAACAGTACAACTTTATTTTGTAGTTCTTTTTATCGTTCGGTCCGCGTGCAATGGCCTTTGTCGTGTCTGCTGAACTATTCCCAACACGTTATCGTTCAACCGCTTATGGTATAAGTGCGGCGTTTTGGAAAATTAGTTTCATATTTTTTTCCGCAATATTTTAATGGATTTATGACGCCAATATGTATGAATCTCACATGCGATTATTTGTTGCATATATCGGGTGTGCTGTTTTCATGGTAATTGGAGCGGCATCTACAACTCTTCTACCTGAGACCAAGAATGAGCCGTTGGAGAAGATTGCTGATGATGACAAACTCAATGCAAGCACGATAGAATAGTGGCGTATAGAATTTAAACTCAACGACTTTCAGTACGCATTGCACGTTGTTATAATACTACATTCTCCCCTAATATACAGAACTGCTACCAAAGTTCACCCTGGTGGCGTAAGCATACAAATATTGGCCTTTATTTAGAATTACGAGTGTTTAAAGCAACTCATGTAGCGCGTTATAATTTTCCTGGGATTTTAATTTATTACGTAATAAATATAATTTTATTTGTCAACTTTAATTCAAGTCAAATTGTCGTGGCTGAGATACGCCCCGCCACACGCCATGGATACCCTTTTTTTCATACTTTGATTATGTGTAAGAGACAGTTTTATCGTCATGCAAGTAGTATCGGTTGTACCAATTATGATGTGGTGTTGTAGTGCTTAAATCGTTGATCGTAAAATATGTCCTACTTTTCTCCACATCGGCTAGGCCGCATATTACGCTGAAGCAATACCCCGTTGCTTAACATCTCGTTAATTAAATACTGGTAAACGTGGAGACCGTTCTTGATTCCTAATATTAATGCATGTTTAATACTATGTTTATAAAATTAACACAAGTTTGTGAGTAAAACTTTTGAAGTACTAAGATTTGCTACATTTTCGCTTAAGTTCACTCTGCAATGCCGACAGCGCTTTTTTTGACATTTCGAATACGATAATAGCTTCATAATCTTTTGTAAACAATCGTAGCACAATACAAATATATATTCATTATTGTCAAAACCAGGTTCATTTTAAACTTGATTGCATACGTAGTGTGTGAGCAAGCCTTTTTCTAATTCAACTTTCGCTAGTCAAACAGTCTAAGTAAATATGGCTGCTTTCATTGATAGAAGACAAACCAAATCTTTTAATCATATTGTCATTACTATCCTGTCATTACATAATTAAGATTGGGTTTTGCTGAAAAGCGAATGTCATTTTGCAGTCCTCCAAGAATAATAAAAAAGCATGAACCGCAATATCTTAATCTGAGACGACAACCGCGCCTCATATTATCCAACTTTGGTTTTTTCATACAAATGTTTAAAAAAGTAGAGACAATAGATCTGTCATACCACAAGTACACTTTTTGAATATAAATAGAACTTATCAGATATCAACTTACAATCATCAAACCAAATGAATACACAGCTACAGCAGGCACCCTCATCTCTTCCACAAGTGTCGGATGAGCTTATCGCTCGGCGTAAAGAAGTCTTCAAGCTGTTTGATGATGCCAAATTATCTGCATCGCACATTCGAGTCTGCCTGGTGGCGAGCGCCGGATTCTTTACGGACGGATATAGTCTATATGCACTCAATTTCGTGATTCTGATGTTAGTCTACGTTTATAATCCCGATTGGTCTACCGAGTCTGTTCGCACTATGGTAATGTGTTCTACTTGGCTTGGTGCTCTATTGGGTCACTTACTATTTGGGTTCATGACTGATAAATATGGGCGGAAATAATGAACAATCATTAAGATGATATAACGTAAATCCTGACTATGGTATGCTTTTTAATTTACAGATGTTTGGCATAGAGTTGATAATCGTTGTCATCGGCACGGTTTTTTCTGCCATTGCTGGCCAAAGTCCTACTCTGTCATTTGTCGGAACTTTTGTCTTTTGTCGATTCATTCTCGGTATTGGAGTTGGCGGAGATTACCCAATTAGCGCACGTATGTACCATTATATTTGCAAGTAACATTTCCTTATTTACTAATTGTTCCAAACATGTAATTATATATATTTTAAGTTATTATATCTGAGCTTGCGCCAACAAAATCCAGGGGAACAATGTTGGCAGCAGGGTATGCCATTTTCGCTCTTGGGGCGCTTTCAGCTGGTATTGTCTCTCTTATCGGCCTTGTTGCATTCCGAGCTTCCATTCACCAAAATCCACAAAATCTTGACCACGTATGGCGACTTACTATCGGGTTTGGCACCGTGCCTGCGATAGTTGCATTATACTTTAGACTGTCGATTCCTGAGACACCTCGATATCTGATCGATGTTGAAAGAGAAATCGATTGGACCCATAACATCAAAGCATCGCATATTGGAAACTATGAATATCAAAGAAAGCCCAAGTCGACGCAAAACACAAGTAAACTAGACCATTTACTCGACATGTATCAACATTTTTGTTCAAAGAAAAGTGGAAAACATTTGATTTTGGCGTGTACCCTCTCGTTTTGCGCCTATACTAGCTTGATTGTATTATGGTCATGCTCTAGTTATCATAAATAAGGGTGACAATTTGGACTATAATACCCACTTGCAATATAATTTAAACTTTGCACTTTGGCTCATACTCGGTTATCTGCCTGCTAGCTTGCTTAACGTGTATTTAATAGATCGGTGGGGCAGAAAACCTATTTTATACATTGTGTTTACGACATGTGCAATTTTATACACCCTCTTGGGATTGTTGATCAAGTTTGCATACATAGATAATCCGGCTCAAAGTCCATTATACTATTCGGTTTCTATTATTATTCTCGTAAGTATTTGTTTGTTTAACGACTTGTCTTTCCCGATGTTAACACCAAAACTGTGTATTTTTTAGTTTTTTTCAACGTTTAGTCGGGCAGTAATCTTTGTCGTACCCGCTGAATTATTCCCAACACGCTATCGTTCAACTGCTTATGGACTAAACGCAGCCTTTGGGAAAATCGGCAGCGTTCTTTCTTACGTGACAGTTGAACGGGTTTATTACTTTAGTTCGGTTGAAAATTTTCATACGAGATTTCTCGTTGCATCTATTGTTTGTGCAGTCTTCATGGTAACTGGAGCAGCATCTACAACTCTTCTACCTGAGACCAAGAATGAGCCGTTGGAGAATATTGCTGACGATGATGACGAATTTGTCTCCTGAATCTAGGACATTCGTAATTTTATGGAAACGTACAGTAAATGACTTGATAATGCTTTTGGTTGCATACAATTGCAATATAGATTAACTGCTCATTGCACGCATTGAACAAACCCAACAATACGTTTAATCAATCCTAAACACTCCCTATTTAAAAGCGAAAAACTCTTGTGTATGTCTTTTCAGTTTTTTTTCTCTTGATAAACATTTTATTAGTATTTTGTATAATAGCACAGTCCTGTTGACAAACTGTCAATATTCTAATGGCAAATAAGCACAAAGCCTTCATTTAGAATTGTAGTTTAACAAAGCTCATACTATTGTTTAATAAAAGTTTTGGGAGTAAAATTCTTTTGCATTATTTTTGCAGTACTTTTCAATCGATGTTCTTTTTCAAGTACAAAAGCATTTGCTACACTTTGCTTGAGTTACTCTGCAATGCAAAGTGTTTTTTGGAACATTTCTAAGCTTGTAACCATACGCTTTTGTTTGTCAACATTTATCTATGCATTGTAGCACAAGTTCATTCAATTTTGGAAAAACTTAGCCGCATACTCTCCAGACATTCGCTAGTTGAACAGTCTGAAATAAATGCTGCTTTCATTGATGGAAAATACCGAATTTTCGATATCGTTGGTGCCAGTAATAATTTTTTCCCCATATTGCATCAAACGTATACGATTAAGTATTGCAGAAAACAAATGTCAATTGTATTCTTGCAAAAAGAAACTTCCGTCGATACCTCCAAGTGCAATATCTGCTCTTAATCTGAGAGGATACTAATACACTAAACTGCACCTCATAGTCTGTCTTATGTATGCGCCACTTTTCCTAAAGTCTTTGTTTGTGATGATAGAAAGGAAAATGACACTTTGCATGCATATTGCAATAACATTGTACCACGTGATGAGGAACTTAATGGGTGATAATCCATTGTCTCCCGATACTCTTAAAGATTATGTAAAAGTTTTTGCATGCATGATTGCGCTGCATTATCTATTACGAGTGATGACACCATATCTACAACTTGCACTGTTTTTAGTCATGTGATAGGATTAACAACTATAAGAAGCGAATTTTTTTTGTAAACGATAAAAAAATAAAGAATCATTTATTCATTTAGCAATGCCTTTATTGTCGCCGAAAAAGGTGTTTATCATTAAACGATAAAAATATGATAATTTCAACAATCAGAATAAGAAATCCAAGATGTTTCTTACCTCATTATTTCGCCCATTTTGGGCCGATTGACATTTCAATTTTTGGCCTTTTTGTGACGCCAGCGCTTTCAAATCATCTGAGCATCCTTGACTTTTTATTTATCTATTGATTTGTTCAAGTATTGACATATGCCCTCCAAGGTTATCGTCATGAAAGTAGTAACAAATTTATCAATTATAATGCGATTACTAGTGTTTCTAATTTAGGCATAACTTTAGATCGTTGCATAACATATAAGACATAGAAAATAACTATGAGCCAATGGGTGAAAAACATTTTGACTCCATTATTGTATGTGTCATTTGTAAACCTCATGACACAACAAATGTTTATAACAACGTCATTGCCAATCTTTCACTTTATATGAGAGTGGTTTCACAGAAAAAACGAATGAATGTCAATTGACAATATTAGAGTGCACCCCGCATGAGATTACCAACTCTGAAAGTGTCAAAAAAAGCAGAAACAATAAAATCTGCCGTATTACGGTACCAATTCGTTCGTATTATTATTTTTTTTTTTATAAATAGATCTCATCCAACATCAACTTACAATCAACAGACGAAATGAATGCACAGCCATCGCCATCTCCCTCACAAGTGTCGGATGAGCTTATTGCTCGACGTAAAGAAGTGTTCAAGCTGTTTGATAATGCCAAATTCTCTGCATCGCACGTTCGACTCTGTCTGGTGGCGAGCGCTGGGTTCTTTACGGACGGCTATACCCTATACGCCGTGCTCTTTATATTTCCGATGCTCATGCTTGCATATCCGGATGATCCAATCCAGAAGTTTCGTGTTATCATGAAAACTTCTACATGGATTGGTTGTATATTCGGACACATACTTTTCGGTTTTATGACCGATAAATATGGCCGGAAAAAGGTGAGATGGGTGAATGATGAAAACCATTAATATGTAGCGTAAAACCTAACCTTGCGGTATGCTTTGCGTGCATATGTTTGGCGTTGAGTTGATTATTGTCATGATCGGTACGATTTATTCCGCTATCTCTGGACAAGGTCATGATCTGTCCTTTGTGGGAACTTTCGTATTTTGCCGGGTAGTTCTCGGCATAGGAGCAGGCGGGGATTACCCGATAAGCGCACGTACGTATCATTTCTTTATGTTTGAAGCTAACGGTTTATCACACATATAACATAACGTTTTACTTTTACATATATCAAGTCATCATCTCTGAACTAGCACCAACCAAATACAGAGGAACAATGTTGGCAGCGGGGTATGCCATGTTTACCATTGGGGCTCTTACGGCCACTACCGTCTCAGTTATTGGTCTCGTTACATTTCATGATTCCATCATCCAAGATTCCCGAAATCTCGACCGGGTATGGAGAATTACTGTCGGGCTCGGCGTCCTGCCCGCGATAATCGCTTTATACTTTCGGTTGTCGATCCCTGAAACACCTCGGTATTTGATCGACGTCGAAAACGAGATTGATTGGTCTCGTAATATCGAAGTATCGCAAATTGGAAAGTATGAATACCCCAGACTGACACATTACACTAGCAGACGGAACCATTTACGCAACATGTACCACCACTTGCGTTCAGGGAAAAGTGGAAAATATTTACTCCTCACATGTCTTATATGGTTTTGTACCAATATTAATCCATCCTTGTATCCGAATTTCGTTTTGATTAAGAACGGGAATTTACCGTATAATAGTCTCTTGGAATACTGTTCCAACTATGTGCTTTGGCTCCTCATGGGCTATGTTCCTGGGGCTTTGCTAACCGTGTACCTGATAGACCGGTTAGGAGGAAACCTATTTTATACATTGGATTTACAGTGTGTGCGGTTTTATTCTTTGTAAGGGGGTTGTTAGTCATGTTTGTGCACAGTGATACATATCCTGATCGAACCCCATTATATTATGCGGTTTCTACCGGAATTCTCGTAAGCATGCGCTTTTGTTTTGAATGATTATTGACAGTCTAATGTTTGTTTGGTGCCTAATAGCAAACCAATTTCATTGTTTAGTTTTTTTTGACGTTTGGTCCTCGCTCGGTAAACATTGTCATACCCGCTGAAATATTTCCAACACGGTATCGTTCAACTGCTTACGGCATAAGCGTAGCGTTTGGAAAACTCAGTTACGTTATTTCGTATCAGATAGCGGAATGGATTAATGATGTAAAGTCAGTTGAAAGTTTCCGTGCGCGATATCTCGGTGTATCCATCGGGTGGGTCGCCTTTATGGTAATTGGAGCAGTATCTGCAACTTATTTACCCGAGACCAAGAACAAGGCGTTGGAAGAGATTGCCGACAATGACGAATTAGATAAAAAGTTTTTATACTTCCGTAAAATAACACCAATTAAAATTTACAATTAGTGACGTTTAGGACATTACATTAACATCTACAATTAAGTGCTAGGTTATCATTGTAAATTAGAACAAGGAACAATTTTTATTTATGCCATCAAATATCTCTTTTAATGCAGAGTCAAGTAAGTACGCGTCAATAAAGACTATAACATTATGACTGTCTACGACACAATAACAATTCACACTCGTTCAATATAGCCGCTAGTTACGCCATTGATATTAACACTAGCTCTTGGAATAATACCAGAGTAACATTTAATACTTACATAAGAGAAGCCGTTTTTTGATTCGTAACGCATGATTCAATATTATATGACAGTTTTCCATGTGTCTTGGATAGAAATTTTTTTTTTTTGCATTTACTCACTGTACAATGCAAACAGTGTTTTGGAACATTAGCTTATCTACACATCGTAGCACAATACCCAATGCACATTTATCAGTTTTTAATCTTAACGCATGCTTTCAGGTGGTATATGAAAAAGACTTATGGTTAACCGGACTCGTATGTGTTCCAATGCAATTCAAACTTTTCGCTAGTCGACTAGTCTAAATTAACAACTGCTTTATTGGTACCAAAAAAAGCGAATCTTTCAACTATCGCGAGGAACTTTTATTCACAACGAAGCCTTTTCTCCATCTTCTCAAGTGTCGGATAAGCTTATTGCTCGACGTAAAGAAGTACGCAAGTTAATGACGCCGACATTTATTGAAGTCTGTCTATTAGCGAGCGCCGGTTTTTCTATACGCACTCAACTTGTTTTTGATGTTACCTATGTTATCGTTAACATTAACCTTACGTCTACTGTATCGATATCTCTTTATCGTAGAGTCCAATCAAGTATGTGTCAATGAAAGCTTATGAATATTGTCTTGACCAATAAAGTAGAAATAGTTTGTCATAAGTTTAGTTTATAGTTGTCAAGTACGCTACTAATAAATATGTTGCTGTTTTGTTTAAACTATCACCAACCGTCCAAATTTTCAAAAAACTCATAATGTAGGTTTGGAGAGGGGTAAAATCCTTTCGCATTATTCTTGCGGCATCTTACAATCGATTTTTTTTGAAGCGCAGCGTATTTGCTATGCTTCGTTTAAGTTACCCTACAACGTGACAGTGTTTTCTGGAACATTCTTTGGAACAATTACTACAAAAAGCGTTTTGGTTGTGAACAGTTATCTATGCATCGTGGCACGATACAAATATGTATTCATTATTGTCAAAACCAGGTTCATTCTATAATGTGTTCAATTTTGGAAAAACTTTAACCGCATATTTTGACGAGGGTAGATATGAGCAAGGCTTATGGTCAACCTGATTCTCTAATGTAATTCAAAATATTCGCTAGCCGCAAAATATCTTACATGTACATGGAGCTGCTTTTATTGATAGAAAAAAAACCGAACCTTTCAACAGCGCTGTGCTATTGCTTCACAGACAAGTTTTTTCTCCGTATTCCATCATGCATATATATAACAAAGTGTTGCATAAAGACGAATGTCAAATTGCAGTCTTCGGAAAAAACTACCGTCGATACCAAGAGTGTAAAGTGCAACATTTTCTCTTAATCTGAGACGACACAGTAAATTGTGCCTCATATTACCCAACTTGGTTTTTTTCATACAAATGCCAAAAAAGTATCAACAATGAGTTCGTCATAACACAAGTGCCAATTTTTTGAATACACAGTTTTTTTTGCTTCTATTATAAATAAATCTCATCAAACTTTAAATTACAATTAACAACAAGATGAGACCACGGGCATCCTCATCTCCCCCACAAGTGTCGGGTGAGCTTATTGCTCGACGTAAAGAAGTCTTCAAGTTATTTGATGACGCCAACATCTCTCCATCACACATTAGAGTCTGCCTAGTGGCGAGTGCCGGTTTTTTTACCGATGGATATAGTCTGTACACACTCAATTTTTTGTTTCCGATGTTAGTCTATGCTTATAGTGCTGATGCGTCCATCGAGAAACTTCGCGTTATGATAAAAAGTTCTATTTGGGTTGGTTCACTATTTGGCCATTTACTGTTTGGGTATATGACCGACAGATGTGGGCGGAAAAAGGTACAATTAATGAATAATATTAATATGTAGTGTAAATTCTAACGGTAGAACTATGGTATGCCTTCATACAGATGTTTGGCATAGAATTGATAATCGTGATTATCGGCTCGGTTTTTTCTGCTATGGCTGGCCAAGGTCCTACTCTATCATTTGCTGGAACCTTTCTTTTCTGCCGATTTATTCTCGGCATAGGGGTTGGCGGAGATTATCCAATTAGCGCACGTGCGTACATTTCAGAATAACACAATTTTCAACTTATTATGTAACATTTTCTCACGTTTT